GCTCTTCCAGGACAGCTTTGTCCAAAGATTTGGTATAATTGTACAAATACAGAATATAAATATAACTAATTTGAATACTGCAACACTGTACCCACATTTTTCCCAATCTTTCCCACTTTGTGCTTTAAAGCTGTGTTTGAGAAAACCTTCGGTAGGCACTGTTTCTGGTAGTGGCCAACTGACAGATGATGGTAACAGAGCACCCATGTGCATGCTTGCAGTTTCAAATGATGTTCACGTAACTCCTCATAGGACTAGACAAGATTAATTTTGTGGAGGTCAAATTATAATTCATGTCCCTCAACCAAGGCTCATTTGCCCTTTTCCAGAACTTTTTCAGACTTTTCTGGTGCCAGCTGAGCCGTGACACGAAGATACTATACTCGTTTAAATATTTACAGCGAATGCCGTGGGGAGTGATGTGTGATGAGAACAGCGATCACTTAGTTGCTCCTTTGAGCAATTGTAACACTGAAAGTTACAACCATGATTTGCACCTGCAAAGGGTAATGAGCTGCCTTCTTCTGAGGAGTAAGAGAAAACCTACTTTGTCCCTTGTAGAATGACACTTCCTAATATCATATACAGCTAGATGGGGAAAGCAATCTGTTTGGGTATAAGGGAGGTGGCAGAACACCCTTCTGTAGGTAAAATTTCTAGTCATGTCCCTCTCAGACACTTTGAAAGTTTACCATGATATAAAAGCTGAGAGATGCAGCTGCACAGTGAGTGACTTTTGCACCTTGTGAATAGCACAGAGCAGCTTTAACTCTGGCTAGACTTTTGTCTACCAGAAAGGCTTATGTTGATTTCTGCATTTGCACTGGTAGAAAATGGCAGTTCTGACATTTTCTTGGCTATATGACACCTCTGCAGAACTGGTACTAACAGAGAAGTGTGTCACAATTGTTAGCAATTCCAACGAACTGGAGATTTTAACAAATTTGGTTTTCAGTAAAAACATGACACGTTCTTCAAAATTTAATTGCAGAACACTCAGTTGTCTTTAAACTCATGTCTTCAACAGGGCATGTTTTACAGGATCCTGGGCTGTAGGGGGTATCTTACACAGACACAGGAGAGTAGCCCACAAGACAATCCTACCATTGCCAAAGCTGGCTATGGGTTTAAAATGGTTTGCCATTTTAAAACACGATGATGGCAGGTTTTGGCTTAAAGAGGAAGAGAGGAGAAAGAAGGGGAGGCATTAAGGAGAGTGTCTGACATGCTAGCCGCTCTGCAAGGTTGACCTGCCTGCTGATCAACTTGCTACTGCATTCTGGAATAATGTGCTAGAAAATTTGAGCGTGCAAGGGAAGTTGCATAAACCTGCCACATATTATGATAAGGCTTTGTTTGATTTTTCCAGTTTGTTATAAGCACAAGCAACTGTGAGGCCTTTCTCTACCAGATCCAGTCCTACAATGACACGTTAGATCAGTGAAAATTTCAAACCTGCTGCTTTCATCAGCACAAAGGGTCAGCCTCAACAGACTTGTGTAATACAGAAGAGGTCAGAATAGAGTGCCAGCTCTGCAGCATTACTGACAAGGAGTAGACAATGTTACCACCAATAACTCAGAGGGAGAGCTGGGCTTGAAAATAGGACCTCACATTTGCCGCACATTATTCAACTCTGGGAATAAGAATAACCCCGAAGTGAGTATCAGTTCATGTGATAACAATGAGTTTCATAACAAAGAAAATTATAAAAATGCTGAATGGAGTGTTTGATGACGCTTCTGGCAAGACGAACCTTTTAATAAGAGAAGACTGTTAGGCAAAAGGAATGGGGTGGGCTCATCCAGGTATCTATCTCTATGGTGTTTTGGTCTGGCTCACGTGAACCAATCCCATAAGTTAATCATCACCCATGTGCAAATGCACATATTTATTAGCATTTAATACCAAAATCCTCCTGCATTCATCCAGGTATGGCTGATCTCTGTTGAATGGCTAGGTTTTGTCCTTCTATTTCAATGCCATCTCATAGCTTTAATTTTGAGCCTTTGATACCTCTGTTGTGATCCCAATAGGCCATTGCCTTCCATCTCCCTACGCACACATCTTTGTTTCTGCCTCAAGCGTGGCCTCTCTAACAGCAAGCAGATCAAAGACCTCTGCCTGTGACCAGATAAAAAATAACAAATGGGAAGAAATCAGGAACAGAACAAAGATAGTTCTGCTAAGCAGGAATCCAGCTGACTTCTGCAACATGGTGGCTGCCAAGGCAGAGGTAACAATTCAGGTCCCATCTGTAGAGAACACGAAGGAGGTCTAGTGCAGAACAGCTCTGGAAGAGAGGTAGAGGCCTGCCAGGAAAAGTTTGGAGCACAAACTGTAACTGCAGGGTTATTACAGTGACAGAGCTACCCCCTGAGGTGAAATTACTGATGTTCCTTACAGACTGAAAACGCCACAGCAATCTGCTAGCTACATCGCTGTAAGGAACTGAGCTGTGTGAACACAGCTCTCTTACAAGGATGCAGCCTGGTATACAGGGACATACGTATAAGCAAGCTCGACTTGATACCTTTTTTCTTATTTGAGAACATACACTCCCATTTAAATCAGTTAAACTATTCATGCACCACCATACCAACCCATGAGTGTGAAAAGACAGCAAACTTTGGCCAGTATGAACCAAATACACTCTGCATATCAAATTCCCTAGCAACAACATATTAGACAGAACACTGAGTTGAGAAGAACTAATTACATCGCTATTAAATTTTGATGCCCTAAACTGACAGAAATAATCATTCTCCCATCACCAATTTGTGTATGGGATTTAGTTACATCCACATAGCCCAGAATAATGATGAGTTATGCCTGACTCTGTGTGCAACAGTGGTGAATTTTTTGGGACAGTACCTACTGATGTATTGATTTCAGTGGAGGTGCTCCTAGGATAAAGGGATACCTGTGCAGAGGCTACATGGGCAAGGCAGCAGTGAAAACCCCCGTAAATGTAAATGTGAATGTGGAGTTTTAAAGCTTGTGCTGATGGTAGCACTGACACACAAACTATGGATGAATGCTTTTCTCCACAAACAACATAGTTCAGCTGAAAAAACAAACAAACAAACAAACAAACAAAAAACACACCAAAAAAACAACAAAAAAAACCACAAAAAAAAAAATGGGCTATTATATTTAACTATTAGAAGAACTGTCTGGATATTTCTCATTGTTGCCTGGTGAGCAAGAGGCATATGCACATTGAACTGTGCCAGTGCTGAAGGATGCAACACAGGTTACTGGTAGAAGACTTTGCATAAAGTAACTTAAGACACTGACTGTAGCTCAGCTGAGAGGTAGATGAAATTACAATGTGCATGGAAATTGTCTTCTTAAAAAGAGCCACCATACACTTAGCAACAGACTTTACCCAGCACTATGAAGCACACAATAAAAAAAATCCATCCCCAGAAGAGAGCCTGTTATTGCCATTCAGCTTTTTATAACTTTATCAACATTACACATACTTAGAACTGTATTGCATACCTGTAGTCTGCTGTGAGGCCTGTAGGTTGTTATATCCTAAAGTTATAAATTATATAGTATGTGGGTTGTATATCCTAAAGATATACAATAAAGATTTAGTGGTATAAGGCTCTCATTATACCAGAAATGTTAATTTTGAATGCAATATTTAACATAAGGCAGTCTTGAGGCAGTAATTTTTAATGGTTCACGTAGGTTTAAGAGCTAGGTCTTCAGGGCAAATTAATGCTTTTCATCTCTAAGAGGTTTACAAATGATGGCACTATCAATGTAAACTTTGAGCCCTGCACAAGCAAATATTTAAGGTAATTGCACATAATTATACCAGATTTTGAAGGTTGTTGAGGATTTTGCATAAATACCGTATTTAAAAGGACTACATATAAATTAAGATGTGGTTTTACATAGCTGTCATCTTGAAGTGTTTCTAAAGAGGACTTTCCTAAACAGAAGCGTATGTGATAAGAGACAATTCCGGAGCCACTAGCAGGAGGAGAAAAAGTTTGGTAGAGAGACTCTTGTAACTAGAGCACCTCCATAAATACCCTCAGAAACGGCCAGGCAGCAACATTAAGAAAATTAACAGCATTAAATGAGAATCTGCCGTATAACTAATCAGACATGTGGCCAAAGGTATTCTGCTTTCTTTTTTCTGCAAAACAATGACTAAAATACACGTTAGAAGTTGTGATAGAAAATAGCAATTCTGGGAAAAATGTCACAGGAGCAGAAATGTCATCACTGCTCACACCACCACTCGAAACTGGGAGGGAATTCCTCTGGTAGCCAAAGGCAAAGCACACTCCTGCTGAAGTTGATAAAAAAATCCACAAACCCCAGTTTTACAGGGGTTTGTATTTCTTTAAAACCAAACATTTTCATTACTCGAAATTCTCTGGGTTTTCTCTTCTTCTTCTTTTTTTTTAAGCTAAAGGAGAAAGTTCTGATTTGGCTTGTTTGCACAAAGCAGCTTTTCTTTCCCCCAACTCAAGATGATTTTAAAACTGTAGGTGCATGCCTGTTTTTTTTTTTTTTTTTTTTAATTTCAGTAATGTCAAATGAAAATACTGACTAGACTATTAATTTCCGACAATTGTCTTGCTTCCTATAAGCAAATTTCCAGTAGGATGTGTTTGAATAGAAAACCCCAAATTAGCAATTTGCATTTAGTAAGTTTTTCTGTATCTGGGAAAAACAAAACAAAAAACAACACCACCCCCAAAAAAACACAAAAAAACCCCACAAACCAAACCAAAGAAAACAAAACAAAACAAAACAAAAAAAACCAAAAAAAAACCCACATGGGAAAACACTCGAGTAAGCATATTCTGAGTCTTTTGGGAGAACTTTTGGAGATTCGCGGAGACCCAGAGCAACCAGTGCCTGCGTTCATTCCCTTCCAGGTCTCACGGAGTCCATCAGCTCCTGGACAAGGGCACAGCCGGCTCCAGGGCGATGATTTTCAAGATCGCACCCGTGTATCAGCAGCTTACCGGCTTTCTGGGCGACGCGGGGACATCGGAACCGGGACCGAGAGCAAGACCGGGACCGGAGCGCTGCCCGCGCCGCCGAAGTGGCACCTGGGGTCCCCGAAGCAAAACCGGCCCCGCGGCGGGCGGGGCAGCTCTCACCCACCCCGGCGCCTCCCACCGCTTCACCGTGCCCGCACGGCTCCGCGGCCAAGGCTGCCGCCGGGGCTGCGCCTTTAAGGGGCCGGGGAGGCGGC